CAATTAGACAATATGTTATCTAAATTTTGGTGTTTGGAAGAAGTAGGAACAGCCGAGCCTCTAACGTTAGAAGATAAAAATTGTAAAGAGTTTTTTGAAAATACGGTTAAGCGAGACGATGTCAGTAGATTTATGGTTTATTTACCTTTTAAAGAAGGGGAAAATTATAAATTAGGCGAATCATACGAGATAGCAAAAAAGAGATTTTTTAATATGGAAAGAAAGTTGCAAAAAGACGAAAAGTTAAAATAGGAATATAGTAAATTTATGAAAGAATACGAAATATTGGGTTAATGCAGAAAATTAGTGAAAAGAAACCCATAGTTGGGGAACAAATATGTTACTTACCGCACCACGCTGTATATAATTATAATAGCACAACAACACGACTTCGTGTGGTATTCGATGCGTCGTGTAAAATGTCATCTGGTAAGTCACTGAATGACGTACTATTAAAAGGTCTCGTCTTACAAGACGATATGATTTTTATTTTAATATACGTTTTAGAAAACATAGAGTTACTTTATCTGCAGATATAAAAAAAATGTATCGACAAATTAATTTAGTTCCTTAACATTGTGATTACCAAAGAATATTATGGAGAGAAAATCCAACAATGCCCATAGGAACTTATAAATTAACAACAGTCACATATGGTGTGAGTCCTTCGTCGTTTTTAGCAACTGCTTGTTTACGTACTTTNTTGGCGGCTGCATAGTCGTCCGTGTTTAAAATCAGTTAGTCTACCTTTGTAAAGCGCACCGCTCGCGTACATATAATAAACACATATTTATATTTTTCATTCTTTTACGTTTCATTTAATTTATCGAAGATCTTTTAGTCGTAAGAGATCACACCGAAACATATGGNTAGTCGTAAGAGATCACGCCGAAACATATGGTCCTTCGCCCGGAAAGTCTAGTGAATATCGGAAACGTGAAAGTGCGAAAATTTGCGTAACGAAAGTGCGTTATTAGGGTACGTGAGTTAAGCGTTGTACGTGCGTGTTCGTAAATAATTCTAACGCATCGAGTTAGAAAAGGGTTAATTTCTGCCCAACGTAGTGCGTAGCAGCAGCGATTGCTAAAGTTAATAAAGCGTACATATATATATATATATATATATNAATAATATTATTATATATTATTAACGTATTTTAATTTAAAGTTCGTATAAGTGCATTAGATATCGTCATAAGTATTGTGAAACAAATATAGTTAAGTGTAAAAAACCCGTGCGCAATATTTATAGTGTCGGCGTACAGCGGTTATTGTGGTACTATCGTTATAGTTGTACTTTGCTCAAATTACCACGAACGCTCTCTAACAGTTAATAGAGCGTACATATATATATACATATATTAGTAACGGTCAGCTGAGGCATTTGGTTTCTTTTGGAACAATTATTTATTATCGGTAAAAACTAACAAAACAAATTATGCCTGAAGATAATCGCAAAAATGAAGTTACGCGATTAAGCATAAGGAGAGGTCAATTAAAATCAGCATTGACAAAATTTTTAAAGTTTGTGCAAGACGAAAAGTCGGACCTAATCGAAATTCGGCTTAGGAGAGAAAAAATTGAGGAAGCATGGAGTGAGTACTACCAAGTACAGTTGAAAATCGACATGCTAGAAGGGATAAACGTAGAGGAACAGCAAAATTATAGAGCTGATTTTGAAGACTCATACTTTAAAGCCAGTACGATTGCGGAGAAAAGGCTATCTGAATTGAGTAGGGTAGTCAGCAACGCGTCAGACGTTGGTGTAGGGAATACGGCAGCAACAGCACCGGCTACCCATAGTCAAGATGTCAGAAAATCTATGGTACGGAGCAATGTTTATGCGGTGACAAATTCAGACAAAAAATGCTTTAATTGTCACTCAAATCACTCGGTGTATCGATGTCCTAGTCTTTTGGCCTTGTCCGTAGTTGGACGCATTAAGCGCATTAGTGAGCGCAATTTATGCAGGAATTGTCTACAGGCACACCCTAAGAAAAAATGTTTGGCTCGAGGCTGTTTTAAGTGTGGCAAGCCACATAATACACTTTTACACTTAAGTGCACGGACCGATCAGTCAGAGTTCAACTCAGCAACAAACGTAACGGAAAATTCGGAAAATAGCGAGTCAGAACAAGTAGTTCAAAATGAATTAGTAACCGTTAGTGCACATACTAGCTTACCGGCCGCTACGCCGATATTATTACCAACCGCAGTTGTTTTGGTTAAGAGTAATCGTGGTGAATGGGAGCAGTGTCGTGTGTTACTAGATTCTGCATCACAAAGTAATTTTATAACCGAACGTATGGCACAGATTTTGCGGTTACCTAAAACCCATGTCGACCAAAGCGTCCAAGGAATTGGTGGAAACGTACAAAGAATTAAATCGCGCGTAATGGTTACAGCCAACTCCCGTTTAAATGACTATTCAGTAACATTGTCATGTTTAGTAGTTAAGAACATTACGAGTAACCTACCAGGCATCCGACTAAATGATAGCTGCGTGGTTCCGAAAGCTATAGTCTTAGCGGATCCGCGTTTCACCGTGCCACAGAAGATTGACCTATTAATAGGAGCTGGTCATTTCTATGATTTAATGTCTGCAGGTAAAATAAAGCCACGACCAGGCGGTCCTGTATTTCAGGAAACAAAGTTCGGATGGGTGGTTGCCGGTTCATCGGAAAATCAACTCAATAGTATAAATCAACAAACGGCGGTTTTCCTCGCGGTGAATGACAATTATAACCAATCCCTAGAAAAGGTAGCTGAATGTGAATTCAGTAAGTATCCTGACGCGTGTCAATCATTAGTTAACGATTTTTATGTGGATGATTGGTTAAGCGGTGCAATGAAACGGGAAGAGGCAATAACATTACGAGACAATATTATTACCGTAATGAAAGGTGCCGGTCTACATTTACGGAAATGGGCATCAAACGATAATAGTTTAATAGGTAGTTTATTACCTGCCGAACAAAATAAAGATAGTGACGGTCCGCGTATTATCGATAACGACACGACGAAAATATTAGGCCTGTGTTGGGATCCGCCATCGGATTCATTTAAATATACATTAAGTGAAAACATAATAAATAATAACAATATAACAAAGCGAACAATTTTATCGAATATAGCCACAATTTTTGATCCCCTTGGTTTGCTCGGACCTGTGTTAGTTGTCGCAAAAATTATCATGCAACGTTTGTGGTGCATTCAACTCAGTTGGGACGAACCCGTTTCGGAGGAAGTCGCTGTAGAATGGCATAATTATAGTGCACAATTAACAACATTAAATAAGTTCAGTATTCCAAGATATATATTATGTGAAAATAAAATCGTTACATTACAGTTACACGGTTTTGCCGATTCATCTATCAGAGCGTATGGTGCATGTGTTTACATTAGAAGTACTGACGAAAACGGCCAGCACACGGTGCGTTTGCTACAAGCGAAGTCCAAGGTCGCGCCCATAAAAACGATATCGCTGCCTCGACTAGAATTGTGCGCAGCCCTATTATTAGCACGAATGGTAAACGGAATAGTGCCGAAGTTGAAATGCAAATTCGAGCGACAATTTTATTGGACCGATTCGAGCGTAACCCTAGCTTGGATTTCATCTCCATCTGCTAAATGGAAAACGTTCGTGGCGCATCGTGTTGGTGAAATACAAGACAAAACGTCCATAAATGATTGGCGTCATGTCCGCTCGGAGGACAATCCTGCTGATTTAATATCACGTGGCTGTACTCCAAACGAATTGCGAATTAATGCGATGTGGTGGAACGGTCCCCATTGGTTGAAGGAGGAGTACGAGAAACGGCCGAAGTCATGTGTACAATACAGTAGTACAAACAATACACCAGAAGCCAAAAATACGGAGGAAACAACAATTACGACTGTTGCATGCGTAGCGTACGATAAATGTTATTCGTTGTTATCTAGAAGGTCGTCGTTATTATTTATCATCAGAGTGACGGCGTATTGCCTACGCTGGCGGTATAACATGAATCGAGCAGTATGTGATAAAAATAATGGGCCGTTAACGGTAAACGAACTAGATAGAGTAAATACGAAAATCGTCAAAATAATTCAACGTGCACATTTTCGGCAAGAATTAAGAGAGTTAAATAGTGCAAATGCGAATGTGTCAAAAAAAAGTAAACTACTGCGTCTTAGTCCATATATTGATGGGGATAATATTATACGCGTCGGAGGTCGTTTAAAATACGCTATGGCGTTAAATGACAATCAGAGACATCAAATTGTATTGCCGGATAACTGTCGTTACACAAAATTATTATTCCGTAAAGAACACATGGATTTGATGCACAGTGGACCTCAAGCCTTGGTGGCCTCTATTAGGCAGCGCTACTGGCTTTTAAAAGCGCGAAGTTTGGCTCGTACTATAGTACACAATTGCGTTAATTGTTTTAAACTGAAACCTCAAATAGTACAACCGATCATGGGGAGTCTGCCTGGTTCACGGGTACAGAGTGGAAGAGCATTTGCCATATGTGGTGTAGATTTTGCGGGTCCAGTCATGATAAGAACGAGCTTGCGTCGTAAGGCACCATGTAACAAAGGATACATCAGCATATTTGTATGTTTCGCGACAAAGGCGATACATATCGAACTCGTGAGCGATTTGTCAACGAAGACATTTTTACAGGCGTTGAACAGATTTTTTGATCGACGTGGCAAAAGTTCAATAATTTACAGTGATAACGCCCGAAATTTTGTGGGCATGCGTCGGCATTTAAAGGAGGTGTACGCACTTTTCCAGTCCCCAGAACATCAGCGATCCGTTTTCTCTCATCAAGCGGACAAAGGAATTGAGTGGCGATTTATACCACCCCGTGCACCACATTTCGGTGGACTTTGGGAGGCTGCGGTCAAAAGTATGAAAAGTTTGCTATATCGCGTTTTAGGAGAAGCTCGGCTCACGTACGAAGAATTATTAACTGTACTAACGAGAGTGGAAGCGGTACTTAACTCGCGACCAATAACTCCAGTATCCTCTGATCCGGCTGATCTAACCTATCTCACACCAGGTCATTTTTTAATTGGCGATATAATGACTGCCATACCGGAAAAGGACGAGACGACCACGCCTATTACTCACTTAAATAGGTGGAGAATAGTCTCTCATTACACCCAAGTACTTTGGAAACGGTGGCACCAAGAGTACTTATCTCAACTACAGGAAAGAACCAAATGGTCCAGCACGAAAGGGCCTAAGTTACAAATTGGAACTATTGTGTTGGTAAAAGAGACAAATTTACCACCACTCAAATGGCAAGCTGGGCGTGTAATGGAATTATACTGTGACGATGACAACGTGGCACGATCAGCAAAGGTCCGTACTAACGTNATACTGTGACGATGACAACGTGGCACGATCAGCAAAGGTCCGCACTAACGTCGGCGAGTTTTCACGAGCGGTCAGGTTATTGTGTCCGTTACCTTTTGAAGGCAACAGTTTGTAGCCAGTTTGTAATTTATTTAAATTCCTTATAATTCGTAGTTATTGTAATATNTTCTTATGATTCGTAGTTATTGTAATATATATATATATATATATATGTGTGTCATATCCCGAGTGGGATTAATTATTAATTTTCCATAATGAATTTGTTTCTAATGATTATTTGTATATTAATTTTTCTTGTATTTTTGTATTACCTTTTACGGTTTTAGTTGTTGCGAAATTTTTTTTTAGATTATAGTTGTTTTTTGTTATCTTTTACTTTGAAACAAATATTTCAAGGCGGGCGGTGTGTTTAGGCCTACACAAAAAGTGTATCTATTGTTGTTTTATCTTATCGTTGTTCGGCGGCTGCATAGTCGTCCGGGTTTAAAATCAGTTAGTCTACCTTTGTAAAGCGCACCGCTCGCGTACATATAATAAACGCATATTTATATTTTTCATTCTTTTACGTTTCATTTAATTTATCGAAGATCTTTTAGTCGTAAGAGATCGCCCGAAACACCAACAATGCCTATAGGAACTTATAAATTAACAACAGTCACATATGGTATGAGTCCTTCGTCGTTTTTAGCAACTGCTTGTTTACGTACTTTAGCTAGTCAGGAAGAAAATTATTATCCATCAGCTTGTTCTGAAATAAAAAATAATTTTTACATGGACGACTATTTAGGAGGCACAGACACTATCGAATCAACTGTTCAGTTACGCGACGATCTTATCTGTATATTTCAATGAGCCGGTGTGTCGCTGTGTAAGTGGTTATCTAATAAAAACACAGTTGTAGACGACACGGTTGAAAATAAAAATAACGAACGTGCATTTGAATTAACGATAACAAAAATACTTGGTCTAACGTGGGACCCCGCTAATGATATGCTTATATTTTAAATAAATTTAAATATTTACCCGGAAAGTGATTTAACTAAAAGGAAAATATTATCTGAGGTAGCCAGTATTTATGATCGGCTTGGTCTTTTAGGACCTGTAATAATAAGAGCCAAACTCTTCATTCAAAGTTTATGGAACATAAAATTAGCGTGGGATGAAGTATTAACTGATAATATAAGTGAAAACTGATTAAATTATCGCGACAGCTTGTTAACTTTGAATAATTTAAAAGTGTCGCCAAAAAATAACGTGTGAAAAAGATATTTCGTCAATAGAAATACACGGTTTTTCGGACGCATCAGAAAAGGCATATGGTGGATGTATATACTTACGATGCACCGATATAGATGGTAAACATAGTTTAAGGCTTATTTGTGGGANGTTAAACATAGTTTAAGGCTTATTTGTGGGAAATCAAAAGTAGCTCCATTAAAGGTAATTTCTATACCCAGATTAGAACTATGCGCAGCGTTATTACTCGCACGGTTATTTTATAATGTTATGGAAAAGTTAAAATTAAATATTATAAAAAAGTACTTTTGGACGGACTCAAATATAGTTTTGGCATGGATATCTTCTCCATCCACAAGTTGGAAGACATTCGTTGCTCACCGAGTTGGTGAAATTCAGAATTTATCTTGTCCATCAGAATGGGCTCATGTACGGTCTCAGGATAATCCAGCCGACATGCTTTCTAGAGGATGTGAAGCGAAGTTGATGAATGAGATGCAGTTATGGTGGCAAGGACCGTCTTGGTTGAGTAGGGATAAAACGGAATGAACAAGTCAAAATAATGGAGTATTAGAAATTTCAAGCAATATGTTGGAAAGAAAAAGTACAACTAAATTTATTGGTAATGTAATAGAAGAAGCTAATTTGTTAGACAAATTTTCATCTTTAAATAAAATTTTACGTATTATGACTTATTGTTTAAGATTTATAGATATTAAAGTAAATAAAACATTGTTTAAAACAAGTGTTATAAATGCAGATGATTTAAATAGGACAAATATTAATTTAATACGTATTGTGCAAAATAATTATTTTGCCAAAGAAATTAGTTGTTTGATAAACGGTAAAGAGGTGTCAAAGAAAAGTAAATTGTTACGATTAAGACCGTTTTTAGACGATAAACATTTAATTAGATTTGGTGGTAGACTGAAAAATGCATTGTCTATTGATGAATGTCAACGTCATCCTATAGTGTTACTTGGTGATAAGTGTAAATACGCGCGTTTATTATTTCTACGCGAACATGAACGTCTAATGAACGGCGGCCCGCAGGCGATGTTATCTACTGTTAGATTAAATTATTGGCCATTGAACGCACGTAGGACAGCAAAAGGCGTATTGCATCATTGTATTAAATGTTTCCGATATAGACCGGTTGTAGTACAACGCATTATGGGCCTTCTACCTATTAGTCGTTTTAAACAGGGAAGAGCCTTTTTAATAAGTGGTTGTGATTTTGCCGGACCGCTGATGATAAAGGACAGTCTTAGAAAAAGGACATGTATATTAAAATGTTACGCTTGTATATTTATTTGTTTTTCAACAAAAGCAGTTCATATTGAATTAGTGTCTGACTTGAGCACGAAGTCATTTTTAAATGCATTAGATAGATTTTTTAATAGACGAGGGATTGCAAAAATCTTATACAGCGATAATGCTACAAATTTCGTAGGAGCTAATAAATATTTAAAAGAAGTTTACGATTTATTTCAATCTGAAGAGTACGAAAATCAGCTGATTAAGAATGTTGCGGAAAAAGGCGTGGAATGGCGATTAATTCCTGCGCGCTCGCCTCATTTTGGGGGTTTGTGAAGTCAATGAAAACTATAATTTTTAAGGTGTTAGGGGAGGCATTTTTAACATACGAGGAATTAAATACTATTTTAATAAGGGCAGAAGCTTGCTTAAATTCTCGACCATTGACTACTCTTTCCCCGGATCCATTTGATCCACTATTCCTTACACCATCACATTTTTTAATTGGAGAGTCGCTTATGTCTGTGTCAGAAGAGGACGAAACCGGTGTTAAAACCAATCGGTTGGATCGATGGTTGGGTTGAGTTGTGCGACATTTTTCCCAAATGTTGTGGAAAAGATGGAGACACGGATATTTAGCTCAATTACAGGAACGGGTGAAGTGGTCCACTGCCAAGGGTCCTAATATTAACGTTGGCACTATAGTTTTGTTACGCGATGAAAATGTAGCGTCATTGAATAGGAAGTTGGGTCGCGTACTAGCGGTACAGTATTGTAAAGATGATGTTATACATTCTGCGACAATTAAGACTACAAACGGTGAAAGCAATAGAGCGGTAAGAAAATTATGTCCGTTACCTTTTGAGGACAACCAAACAATGAGTTAAATTGCTTCAATGATTCATATAGTTAAAATTAAATATTTTTTGATTATTTATTTGTTAATTTATTTATATTTATTTTGTGTAGATAAATTATGAGAGTCCCAATGTGTGTTTTTTAAATAATTATAGTCGAATACTAATTGTTAAATCTATTTGATAAGTCTTATTCCTTTGGTTTATTTGTAGTATTTTATTTTATTTTTTTGTTTTGTTCATTTGATTTATTTAATAATCATTAATTTAAAACAGTGTTTTAAGGCGCCCGCTATGTTAGGTCCGACTATAGTTATCAACATGTACGTGGACGGTCGTTGACCACCACTTTTAATTAAGTCAGTCGGCGACGTGATTTCTTAGCATAGAGTTGTAATTTAAACGAATAAAAATTGATATATTAACGTTCATAGAGTTACTTAAAATTTAAAAATAATAAAACCCCAAAAATCTGTTCAACTAGAAAAATGACATACAGTCCACAACACTGGGCATCACTCATTTTGATTTGAAATTGACATTTATTCTTAAATAAATGAATTAACAATAATGATAAGTTTATATATTCTATTTCCCGAATTTAACATGCTACAAAAGGTTTAATTTTTTTTATATAACCTCATAACTTAAATTTATTTAATCTATTATTGGAGCCTTATATGACTTGTACTTTATAATTTAATTTCAAATAATTAAAATAGAATTATTTAAATTAAAAAAAAGTAATATGTAAACAAAAATAAGTAGACAAATTATTTGAAAAAATAAATTAAAATAATAAATATTTAATACTTTTTATAAAATAAAAATATAACCATTTATAAATTTTTTTTATAATATTATAAGACTTTTGAAAACCAATCTGCTTCACTTAAAGAACTTATGAAGACAGGCTTAAATAAATGTTTTACCGTCAATCTGTTTCTTGCTTTAGATATTGTTTGACCAGTTTTTTAAAAAAAAAAGCGTTCTGATGGAACAGAGGTTGTGACAATACTTAATTTTTGACGAGCAATGTAATATAATTTTGGGTATAAGAACTTCATGTTTTTGACTTAATGTAGCTAGAGGAAAGTCATTGAATATTTCTAGATTCTTTAAACGCTTGTCAAGTTCAAATAATATATACTTTTTTAATTCAATACCAATTAAAGATGTATTTTGACAAGTATTCGCCACACTATTGATACAATTAATCAATGGTAAAATTGTACTAATTATGGTATATTTTTTACCAGAGATTTTTTTTGTCAAGTCCTTAAGTGGTTGCATCAAATTTTTAACTTATTTGACAATCAATATTTCTCTAGTTATTATTAAATCAGGTTCATTTGGCCTTTCTAATATAATAGTAGAAACAACACGATACAAATGTAAAAATCAATCCATCACATAATATAGACTATTCCAACGAGTCTTGATGTCCAATATTAATTTTAAAACTTTTCTTTCTGGTAAAACCTGAAATACCATATTTTAAAACATAATAAACATTAAATATTATATTTACCATAATTTTTTTGGATACTTCTTAATTCATGATTAGCATTAACACTATTTTTTATAAATTTTAGAATATTTCTAATTTTGTCATTCAACTGATTTAAATTAATACAATTCTCTAATGCGTTATTAGCTATAAGGTTTATAGTATGAGCAAAACATGGGATTGTTTTATATATGCCAAATATATCACTAGCTGTTTTTTTTTTCAGTTAAAAAAGAACATTTTAAATTTAATGAGAATGTAGTACACAAATGTAATAAATAGACATTACCATTATCAGTTACAATAGCAATAATTTGGTGTTGACTAATTTCCCATTAAGTCATAATAATTTCAAATGCCTCACTAATATTTTCAGATGTATGAGACCTACTTAACTTATGTACACCTAATGTTTAAAAATGTATACATTTTAATTAATAAATACGTAAAAATAAATAATTAGATCATAATAAGTAATTTGAAATAATACCACATATAAATTTAGTGCCTTCTAAAAAGTGTACCAATATAACTTTTCATTTGAAAATCGGTTCAAATATCTGATGTTAGTGTAAAACTATTGTTTTTCTTCAAGTTATTTGAAAACACTTTAAATAGTCATATTTTAAATCCTATTTATTTTTTATAGTATTCATATATGGAACTGTGTAAAAGGGAGAAGACACTTGTAAAAAAAATGTCTAAATCCACTTCCTTCAACAGTGGGCAATGGTACATTATCCTTGCAAATATAATAAATTAATGCATCAGTTATTTCTGAATTTTTCATTTCTCCTGCTATGGAAATTTACAAATTTAATAAAAGAACCAATTCTAATAATAAAGGGCATGTGTTACTTTTTTCCTAAACTAGTATTTAGTTGGTAAATTATAATAATTTATGCATACATACATTCTTAAAGGAAATTTTTTCTTTTCAATTTAAAGCTAAACTTAAGATAAAGTAATTCTACTACTATTTGAATTTTATTTTACTGCATTAAAAAACATTTATAATATGTTAGAATATACTAAAATTTTATTAAATTATTCATTTTTTATAAAATTTTTAAAATAAAAATTGTTTTTTTTTTAATTAATTACAAATTTTATCCAACCTTATTAGTGAAATGAGTCTTGAAATAAAATCTTAATAAGAGAAAAATAATTGTAAAAATTTTCAGAATATATTTAAAAACGAGACTATTAACAAATTTTATTCATTAGTCCAATTGATTACCTTTCAATAATGATACATAATTAAAACAGTGCTCAATCAAAGGTCAGAATCATGACTATTAATGTTTTAGGATTCCTTTATTTTTGAATTTAGTTGGTGTGCATTTTTAAGATGAGAGTGAAGATTATATGTGTTGCCAGACTTTAAACATATTTTATCACATACTTTACATTTAGCAGACAATTTATGGACTTTGTCAAAATGACGCCAAATTATACTTAATTTACCCATCGCAAAACATTACTATTATCTTTGTAACACAAATTGCACCAGATATTATGGCAATTTGCTACCACGCCAATATGTTTTATCATTGTACAGTATATTTATACAACAAAACATGGAACATAAAATATAATTACCAACAAGCTATAAATAAAAAAAACGGTAGCACAGTGGGGTCGAGGCACAGTGTGGACGANACGGTAGCACAGTGGGGTCGAGGCACAGTGTGGACGAGTCATAGAGGGGACAAGTATAGATGATATCTGACAGTGATTAAAATCACTATCATAAGAAACGCTTCGATGCAAATCTGTAGATAGTGTTTCCTTTAGAGAAATTGGTGAAATATTTTAAAAGCAACATGAACTCTTATTTCTTTAATTATATCCTGATTAGTAGTTCTTTGATTTTAAAATATAATATATGAATAAATACTAATTATAGTTTTTAAATTTAGTATGAAATTGTG